AGCATGTTTTTCACAACCAAATGTGGACCTGGGCCATTTTAGGTCAGTGACATACTCAGACCTTTAACAGGTCCATGAAAGATGTATGACGCGGTTGCTGCTATTGCTAGATTTCAATTGAGTCGCCAAAAATTGCCTCATGCAGCAAACTCTAGAGTTCAAACACAGGCTGGTTTTGACCTTGGTCCGACCCTCATACTTGACCCTAGGTCAGTTTAATTGTTTAATCCAAGGGTTTTTTCGCCTAAGAAAACTATCTCAGAGGCGTATGGCTTCGTCTAACGCTCAGTTGTTGTGTCAAATTGAACCATTTCCTAGAATTTGTCTTCGCTTCACTTTGACCTGCTGCATCTTACAAGGTACATTTAAATTGTTGGTGCCAAACGATCCGCTAACCCATTGTCTGCAGCTATGCATACTTGGCGCCGCTTCACCGCGCTGTTGGGAAAACATTCCTGGAAAAACCGTTGGGGGGGGGGGAGTCAAATTTACCTTCCCGCCCGAGTGCGCGTTAATTTTGCGTGCGGGTAATGTCGCAAAATACTCCAAGTTTGCGTTGTAGGAGAATGGAACAGGAATAAAAATAAGCCAGTCGACCGATGAGTGAGCGAAACGACGTGTTTTTGTTTTCAGACAAGGCGGAGCGTATAGTCACCATTTAAAAAGATATCCCATGAGGCATATATTGAATGGCTTACCAAAGGGGACACCACAAACCTACTGCACATGTATGGGGGCCGTTTTGACAACCATGCACTGGTAGTATCACAACCCGCAAGTTTTGCTTTCGCTGGTCGATAAAAACAGTGTGCACGTGCAAACACGCCGCCAAAATGTGCTATAATGACAGAGTGCACAAGGGTTTTCAACAAAAGCCTTGTGAGGGGTCAAATAAAAAGCCGACCCAAAAGGCCACTTGTGACGTAAAAACTGAGATTTTGTCGCTAAAATAAGCTGACGGCAGCTCAGTATACAACGATTTTATGTACTAGTCCGTTTCACGTTCCTTCTTCATGACAAAGTTTCGCTTGCCAGGACGGCCGGCGAGTGTGAGTAGCACGGCTCACACTCGCTGGTTCCTTGCCACGACTGCACGACGAGTGTGAGTAGCACGGCTCACACTCGCTGGTTCCTTGTACCACGACTTGCCGGCCGAGTGTGAGTAGCGGCTCACACTCGCCGGTTCCTTGCCAGGACGGCCGCGAGTGTGAGTAGCACGCTCACACTCGCCGGTTCCTTGCCACGACGCCGCCGAGTGTGAGTAGTACGGCTCACACTCTCCGGTTCCTTGCCAGGACGGCCGGCGAGTGTGAGTAGCACGGCTCATACTCACCGTTTCCTTGCCAGGACGGCCGGCGAGTGTGAGTAGCACGGCTCACACTCGCCGGTTCCTTGCCAGACGGCCGCGAGTGTGAGTAGCACGGCTCACCTCTCCGGTTCCTTGCCAGGACGGCCGGCGAGTGTGAGTAGCATGGCTCACACTCGCCGGTTCCTTGCCAGGACGGCCGCGAGTGTGAGTAGCACGGCTCATACTCGCTGGTTCCTTGCCAGACTGCCGCGAGTGTGACTAGCACGTCACACTCTCCGGTTCCTTGCCAGGACGACCGGCGAGTGTGAGTAGCACGGCTCTACTCACCGTTTCCCTTCCTTGCCAGGACGGCCGGCGAGTGTGAGTAGCACGGCTCATACTCACCGTTTCCCTTGCCAGGACGGCCGGCGAGTGTGAGTAGCATGGTTCACACTCGCCGGTTCCTTGCCAGGACGACCGGCGAGTGTGAGTAGCACGGCTCACACTCGCCGGTTCCTTGCCAGGACGACCGGCGAGTGTGAGTAGCACGGCTCACACTCGCCGGTTCCTTGCCAGGACGACCGGCGAGTGTGAGTAGCATGGCTCATACTCACCGTTTCCTTGCCAGGACGGCCGCCGAGTGTGAGTAGCACGGCTCATACTCGCTGGTTCCTTGCCACGACTGCCGCCGAGTGTGAGTAGCACAGTTCACACTCTCCGGTCCTTGCCAGGACGACCGGCGAGTGTAAGTAGCACGGCTCATACTCACCGTTTCCTTGCCAGGACGGCCGGCGAGTGTGAGTAGCACGGCTCATACTCACCGTTTCCTTGCCAGGACGGCCGGCGAGTGTGAGTAGCACGGCTCACACTCGCCGGTTCCTTGCCAGGACGGCCGGCGAGTGTGAGTAGCACGGCTCATACTCACCGGTTCCTTGCCAGGACGGCCGGCGAGTGTGAGTAGCATGGTTCACACTCGCCGGTTCCTTGCCAGGACGACCGGCGAGTGTGAGTAGCACGGCTCATACTCGCCGGTTCCTTGCCAGGACGACCGGCGAGTGTGACTAGCACGGCTCACACTCGCCGGTTCCTTGCCAGGCGCCGAATATAGAGGCACGAATTTCGACACCCCGCTAGCATTAGCTTTGTGATGGAAGAACGGACTCCGGCGTTTCAATAAAACGCCTTGTGAGAGCCATCAAACGGCCGGCCAGAAGGCCACCATAGCCCTCGGTGGAAGTTCGCGTCCTCAATAAATGTCTGATAGCTCACTTGGTAAAAGCGCCTGCCTTCTGATTCACCCACCCGTGGCTGGGTGAGATCGAATCACTCTATAGGCACTCGCTATCTCATTTCGAAAGATTTGGCCTGCGGCCCGTGGCGGCGGTCGCCCTAGAGGTCAAGTGATGTCAGAGCGCAGGACGGACTGTGTTGAACATTGCCAGACGTTTAACTTTCGCCAACAAAATCCGCCATATTGCACGATCGGATGGTAGAGTCAGAGCTCATACAACAAGCACCGTTCGGCGTGAGTTCTGATCCCAGAATCCATCCGTTCGAAAGGTCCAGATCCGATCTGGGAAAATGCTTGATGGATGGGTTTGAAACGTCGCTCTCGGTCGACTCAAGTGCATTGATCCTGGCAGCTAAGAACAGGTCACCGAATTCTTAGCACTTGAGCTACGCCACAGCGCGAAACTATCTTTTTAACGAGTTGGGTGAGGTTGAAGATTAGTTCTCTTACCATCCGAGAGCAGCCAAATTCTGGCAGCTAAGAATAGGTCACGGAATTCTTAGGGCTTGGGCTACGTTACAGCGTGAACTATTTTATTAACGAGTTGGATCAGGTTGAAGCATTGGTTTTTTACCACCCCGAAAGTGGCCACATGTTCAAAAACATGGTTTATAGTCATTGTTCCTTGTCAAGTTAGCAGAATTTGCTATTACTAGCACCGAAAGAATGAAATTTACGGAACACTTCACGCACCCAGAAGCAGTAACCAAATCTTTTGAACAACACGCCAGTTCATTCATTAGTCCTACCACAGTTACGGCGCCGACGTTTATGTGTCATCTGATAGCTCTAGGTGGAAATCCACGCAATGAGTGGATGCCCGATAGCTCAGTTGGTCAAGTGCTTGCTTTCTGATTCACCCACCCGTGGCGTGGATGGTGAGTTCGATTCGCTTTAGGCGCTCGCTGTTTGCCATGCAGGTATGGCTCGAATTCGGGCAGACTCAAAAGATGACTCGAACAAAATTTGCCCCGTAACGGCATCATGACGCCTGAATTCTGACGTTTATATTTAAAGCACGGGCCAATCAATTACACGTAAGCGAGACTGGCAGATGCTGGCGTGCGATAACCTCTGGTTTACCATGAATGCTTCGGGAAATCCGGAATCCGGCCGGAAGCCGATGAATGCCTTCTGAATGTCACGTGCTTGACCAATCTTTTTTCGCTCAAACGGCCGCCAACTTGACAACACTTCCGGACGTGAACTGCTCATTGCTATAATGGGCTTCACTTTGTAAGCAAAGGTTTTCGGCACGGCATTCAAAGCTCACCGATTTATTCGATTGCGGCGTTTTCGTTACCTGATGTCATGAGGGCTGCTAGGACCGTATGAAATATCGTGATGGACGACTGAAACTTGCGCGACGTTCAAGACACCAGGCAAGACAACACAATGCATTTTAAACTAGCTGGAAGATCGAAAAAATGTATGCTGTCTGTTGCTTTGCGTGCGCATTACTACTGAAGATTGGTGACGGCACACACTGTTAACAACCACAGAAACAGCTTCCAGTGGATCAATGCTTTTAAATGCAACGGGTTCAACAAAGCAACCAAACCATCCTGGGAATTCGTCCAGTTTCAACCACCTGAGATGTGCTCGCATGCTCCCAGTTTGCCACAATTACAACCGGCTCACGGAACCAACCATAGACCTTGCTGCCGTGAAGCGCAAGCATGGTATTCAGTGTTCACACGCAACGAAGAAAGAACAGAAAAAGTTCTGTTCACTGCCGATTAAAATATCTTTGGAAGTTATGCAGATAACGGGTGTTGATGAAGTTACTGAAACAATAAGCCTAAGTATGACGTTTAGTGAGTTCTGGAAAGACACTAGAGTGCAGGCACCTCCAGAATATCGCGATGATTGTCCTGACGTTCAACGCGTGAACAATGACTCGGCCAGCTATCGGCCATCGCGAGCGAAGGATATGTTGTGGATTCCCGACGTTTACATCACGCGGATCGAAAGCGTATATGAACCAGAAATCCTGATGAGAGCAGCATCCTTTCGCATGAGTAATGTCGGAGAGGTTAAGTTCACGACGTTTGGCATCTTCGCCATATCGTGCATGATGAACTTTGACAACTTCCCAATGGACATTCAGTACTGCCCCATGTACATGGAAAGCTGGCGTCTTGAGGACACTCATCAAAAAGTGCTTTGGGATCCGGATGAGCCCATTGTTTTACAGGAAAAGTACAAACTCGATCAATTCACTTTCAGCATACGGATGCTTAACGCCAACCACCATGCAATATAATACAGGGAACTACTCGCGCGCCGGCGTGGTTTTCATCTTTTCTCGCAAGCTGCAATTCTATGTGCTGCAAGTCTACTTACCTACGGTGCTGTTCGTCATCATCTCGTGGTTGACGTTCCTCATTCCGCCGGGCGTATGCGCAAGGCCGCATCATCATGACCATCACCACTATGCTGACGCTGGCTGCGCTCTTCAACATGGTCGAGATGCACTCGCCGTCGTCGTCCTACATCAAGGCCATTGACATATGGATGGTCGTGTGCTACTCATTTGTATTCGTCGCCGTCGTCCACTGCCTGGTCGATATCCGGTTGCACTTTATCGATTCGCAGGCATACAAGCACGAGGCGCTCGGCTTCCTGGCGCCCGTGTCGGTGGCGCTGGTCGAGAACCGCCAGGTGTTCGACGACCTGTTCGGCGCGCCCGACGACGAGCCCGAAGCCGCGCCGTCCGACTACTTCGACGCACCAAGTCGGGCCTACCTGCCGGAGCACCGGCGCGATTTCTACGCACCACCCAAGCCCACCGGGCGCCGCCGGGCAACGGTCAGCTTCTCCGTTGACTCGCAGACCGACGACATGGCCGCCGCCGTCGCCGCCGCCGCCTCCTCGTCCTCCTCCACGCCGCTCGGGCGCGACCAAGGGGACGAGCGCGACAAGCGCTGGGGTCACGTGGCCGTTGTCTTCGAGAAGACGTCGCTGATCGTGTACCCAGCCGCCTTCGTGCTGTTCAACATCTGCTACTGGGCCTACTACCTGAACGCGGCGCGGCCGCCGCATCTCCTGGCGGCCGAAATGGCGGCCGGCTTCACACCGCGGCCGAGTGTCGGTCGTCTCACGACGCACGGCAACCACTGAGCTCCGCGCGCCGCGGGCGCGCTCGAGCTTAGCTCGCACACTGGCTGTAGCGGCGGAGCGCGTGCTGAGCTCACACGCTGTGCTGTAGCGGCGGGCGCATGCTGAGCTCCACGCTGAGCTGCAACGGCGGGCGCGTGCTGAGCTCACACGCTATGCTGCAGCGGCGGGGGCGTGCTGATCTCACATGTAGAGCTGTAGCGGGCGGGCGTGAGCTGGGCTCACCACGCTATGCTGTGTAGCGGCGGGCGTGAGCTGAGATCACACGCTGAGCTGTAGCGGCGAGCGCGGCGTAACCCGCCCACCGCACCAACTCGGGGCTGTGCTCTGTGCTCGCAGTCGTCCGGCTACCCGGCCCAACGAGTCCGGCACCACAAGAGGGATTCAGGGTCCATTCCATAGATCGGAGAGGTTCAGGGGCTTTCCTCACTATCGTCGGTTGTTTGCAAAACTAGCGTTTCGTATCACGTGACAGGTAAAATATAACCACACAGCTATGACCAGTCGCCCAAGTTGCATTAATCAGACCCAGAAATACAAAACGACGCAACGGAGCCACTAAAAAACAAGTCATACGTAGAGGCCACCAGGCACGGCAATTGTAACAAGGTGCGACCATTTATCTCGTGGGTTTTTTCGTGAACACAAACCGCGTGGCACCTTTTCTACGAATCATGCCCCTAGTCAGTCGCAGCGAGTTAGTACACTGTAACTGACTGCCTCAAAACTAACGTTTTGGACGCCAGGCGATGCTTGACCAGCCTTGCTTTTTATAAAACAAAGGTGCAAAACCATTCAAAATGCTTGCAGAGGTTCTGACCCACGCAACTCGCAATTGATACCGCAGTTGGCGCGCACTGCACCGTACAAAGGTCAGCCTCACGTATAGCGGCCTATCAGGCTCGATATCGCAAGACAAGCCTCACAAGCACAGTCTGATAGAAGGGCCGTCCATGTCACTGGCGTCGGCTGGCCGCACCACGCCGCGATGGTAGCGAGCGACGTCCATCCAGCCTTGAACGCGCACAGACGCTGGCGTCCGTAGTCTGGCCTGTCATTCGTGGGCGTGGTGTGCTGCACGGCAACGGATGGAGCCGCCACCAGAGTTGGCCCCGGCCCTGCGGTCGACGCCGCTCGCCGTCCGGACTTCCGCACCTGTCTGCAGCGGCTCTCACGGCGGTCCTGTTCCGAGCTAACAGCGGCTCCCACGGCGGTCCTGCCCCGAGCTAACAGCAGCTCTCACGGCGGTCCTGCCCCGAGCTAACCGCAGCTCTCACGGCCGTCCTACCCCGAGCTAACAGCAGCTCTCACGGCGGTCCTGCCCCGAGCTAACCGCAGCTCTCACGGCCGTCCTACCCCGAGCTAACAGCGGCTCTCTCGGCGGTCCTGCTCCGCGCCCCGCAGCAAGCGGTTCGGTTTCTGTCAGCGGCCAGACCAGGCCGGTCACGACCGGCTCACCGAGGCGACGACTGACGATCCAAAGCCAGAGCGGCCACGACGGCGGCGGCAGGGCCTCTGTCCACGGCCAGACCACGGCCGTCACGACGCCAGCCGACTGTTGTCTTGCGTCAAACTCCGGTACGTGTCCTGGCGAAGATGAGTCGCAGTGTGAGCGATGACCTTGTAACAGTAGCGGTGTGTCTTAGGAGATGTTTACATACATATTAGAAGACGACATACCTACCCTTTCTTCATGCAGTCGTCTCACCAATACCGTGGGTACACGCTAATGAGATCGGCAACCATCAGGTCCAGATCGCCACATCTATCACGCATGGCATCTGTGGTGGCATCTTCAAGACCGTACACAAGCCTCATTGCGCTCCCTACTAGGGACGTAAGAGGTTGGATCGGGAAAGGAGCTAATACTGAATCGTCGCCGCCGTCGCCGGTCGAAAAACCTGTAATGGCATACTGAAATGAGGCTTTAGCCACCTGAAGTTAGATTTCGTTAAACGTAAACAACACTATAGCGCACACAGGGAATGGAACCGATGGCACGAGGTGCCAGCGATGAACACAACATTGATAAGTGACGCCAAGTCCAGCAGCACGGTGTTCGTCGGAAACCAAGAGCACCTGGCCACCCTAGCTGCAGTCAAGTTTCAGCATACAGCAGCAGATGAGTTCGGCTAAATGGGATTCGACGTTGTCGACAAAGAGACCCTCTGAGCGCTGTTAATGCCCCTCGAAGTGAGCCGCTGCAGCTGCTGCGCGGCAGCGCTCAGTGGCCGTGACAGCTGCGGAAGCGGGGCGTCGCCACGGAACAAGCCACGCGTCTGCGACCCAGGCGCCGACCCGACTGACCTTCTTGACCCGGTACAGCTGGTCCAGCGAGTGGTTCAGGAACGGGCGCACGGTGTTCAGCTCCAGCAGCGTCAGGTGGTCCAGCTTGGCGTACGACGAGTTGGACTTGAGAAAGGCGTCCACCGAGGAGCGCAGCTTGGCCACGCGGATGTCCCAGATGTCCTGGGAACAGCAGCCGGGCAGGTGCGTCTCGCAGCCATCCACTGCTCAAGCCATGGTCACAGAGCGCGCCTTCCCACTTAGAGCCACGATGGCCAATCAACGTGCTAGATATACGGCCATCTAAAGGCTTTTGGCAGGCAAGCCAAACTGCATCTTTTGATCAAAGCTTTGTGCAGCTGGCCCGATACAAGACATGAAAATAACCAGCAGCATATGCAGACCTATTGAGGAATAACCCTCGCTACAGATTATCATCAGCTGCCTCAGCACGTGATAGCATGGCGACATTCAGCGCTCACCACATTACCTGGCTTACCGTACCCGTGTACCCGTGACAGGCACGGCACCTTCAAGACACAACCAACTGGGTTTGAGCCCTACTGAAGGCTCTGTACTTCCCTGACAAAGGGAGGGTGAGGACCCCGACGACAAAAGGCCGTGCCATCACATCGAACGACAAGCTGAAATACTCAGTGCTGTTGGCTAAAAGGCTATGACAAAAGTCATTACTAAACCGAGTTCGGACCGCCTGGACAGCAGGAAAGTGATCACGCAAAAACCCATCCTTAGCGATGACCTCCACTCGATGGTGCGCGGGAAAGCGAGCCATGAGATCGCATAAAAGACCGTGCGGCACTACACGCAGAGAAAACGCCCTTAGCTGTCGTGTTGAAACCTCAGGGAATTGAAAAGCAGAGCTACGTGAACCGCAGGGATGCATTGCTTTCCATGTGTCGGAGCCAAAAGTAAACCGGATAAAACCTGCAACTCAGGTCATTCGTATCACCTCCCGTCGGAAGTGCCTCGGGGGAGCGAATGTTCAACGAGCCAAACCATGCTGTTTAGGTGAGGCTCAGACACACGCACTCGCGCCGCCAGCAACGTTGAGGGTCGCGCACATCGGGGCGCGAGGTCGACGCGCGAGATTCCCTGGGAACCCACCCGTTCGGGGCCGAGTCATACCGCGATGGGTGCAGGGCTACCTGCCTTCAATCCGCATGTGAGCGGCGGCACGGCCCGGGCCAACGCTCTGCATGTGGCGCGCGCCGCGGCGACAAGCCCTCCCCTCCTCCCCTCCCACCATGATCTCAGCATAATTCCATCCCAATGCAGGCCAGCGTCGCGCGCGTTCCGAGTCTCTGACTACAGTGTCGCGGCGGGGCATACCTTGATGATGGTGCGTATCTCATCGGCCCGCGGCAGGTCTCCAGGCGCCACGTCAATCATCAGCTGCGTCACCTCCATGTAGTGATCGCTGGGCATGGGCGTGAAGTGCGCAGAGTTCTTCTCCTCCTCCTTTTTCTCCTGTCGGCAGCACGACGAAGGTTGCCGCAGGGGTAACGAACGTCACCACTGGAGGGATGACGAGCGTCGCCACCAGGGGACCGGTGTCACGACTGAGGACTGGCCAGTGGTGACGGAATCAGTCACCACTGGGGGGATGACGAGCGTCGCCACCAGGGGACCGGTGTCACGACTGAGGACCGGTCAGTGGTGACGGATTTTTTTTAGAAATTTGATCCGAACGCTTTGAATGGATGAATTTCTGGGATCAGTGCTCACGCTAAGAAGTGCTTGTTGTGTGAGCCCTGACCCCTACCATCCGATCGCGCAATTCCAGGCAACGGCAGAATTTAGTGGCGAAAGCTTAACGTGCCGCAATGCTCGGCACGGTCCGTCCTGCCCTCTGACGTCAACTGACCTTTAGCGCGACCGCTGCCACCGGCCGCAGGCCGTACCTGTCTAGATTACATAGCGAGTGCCTAAAGCGACTCGAACCCACCTCGCCCCGGGTGGGTGAATGGAAAGGCAGGCGCTCTAGCTAACTGAACCACCGGTCACGGAATCCGTCACCACTGGAGGGACAACGAGCGTCACCACTAAGAGAGTGGTGTCACGACTGAGAACCGGCCAGTGGTGACGGTATCAGTCACCACTGGAGGGATAACGAGCGTCACCACCAGGGGACTGGTGTCACGACTGAGAACCAACCAGTGGTGACGGAATCAGTCACCACTGGAGGGATAACGAGCGTCACCACCAGGGGACTGGTGTCACGACTGAGGACCGGTCAAAGGTGGCTGGATCAGCCATCACTGGAGGGATCATGAGCGTCACCACCAGGGGACTGGTGTCACGACTGAGAACCAACCAGTGGTGACGGAATCAGTCACCACTGGAGGGATAACGAGCGTCACCACCAGGGGACTGGTGTCACGACTGAGGACCGGTCAAAGGTGGCTGGATCAGCCATCACTGGAGGGATCATGAGCGTCACCACCAGGGGACTGGTGTCACGACTGAGAACCAACCAGTGGTGACGGAATCAGTCACCACTGGAGGGATAACGAGCGTCACCACCAGGGGACTGGTGTCACGACTGAGAACCGGCGAGTGGTGACGGGATCAGTCAACACTGGAGGGCTACACCAACCAACACATGAGTGAAAACTTCATTCCATCGTAAAATGGGCCATCAGCATGGGTGCCAGAGCAGCACTGCGACACGCACTGCAGCTCAAACATAAGGACTGAGGCCGAGCCTGGCTAGGAGATCCAGGGTCATAACCAGAGGGCCATGACACTGTGCAGTTGACCTGACCGCCATAATGGAGAGGCACTGACCGCCGACGTTACGCCTACCTACGCCATGAACGTGACTGACGTAAGAAAGGAATGCCGTCACAGGCGCCAGGTTGTGCTGCCAACATCACCACTCTACCGGAGGAACACGCACCACTGGCGTCACCCCGTGCTCGGTGAATCGGCGCGGGGACGGGACGGGGACGGGGACGGGGACGGGGACGGGGACGGGGACGGGGACGGGGGACGGGGACGGGACGGGGACGGGACGAGGACGGGGACGGGACGAGGACGAGGACGAGGACGAGGACGAGGACGGAGACAGAGACAGAGACGGAGTCGGAGTCGGAGTCGGAGTCGAAGTCGGAGATGAGGACGAGGACGAAGACGGGCTCAGGTCAAGTCAGGTCAGGTCAGGTCAGGTCAGGTCAGGTCGAGTCGAGTCGAGTCGAGTCGAGTCGAGTCGAGTCGAGTCGGGTCGAGTCGAGTCGAGTCGAGTCGAGTCGAGTCGAGTCGAGTCGAGTCGAGTCGAGTCGAGTCGGGTCGGGTCGGGTCGGGTCGGGTCGGGTCGGGTCGGGTCGGGTCCGGAGCATGCCCACCTGCAGGCGAGCCACGTCCATCCAGTCGGGCGGCACGATGCGACACTTGCTGCGCTGTCGCAGGTTGACGGCCAGCCAGACGGGCACGGTGATGGGCAGCGCCGGCCGGAAAGGGCCCACGTCCCCGCCGATCAGGTACAGTCGGTCCTGCTGGAAGTTCGGGATGATATTGAGCGTGCCGCCCTCCGCCAGAAACTCCATCTCGTCCGGGGAGATCATCTCTGAAACGGACGAGACTCTCTCTCAACACAAGCGAGCATACATAGTTCAGCTAAGAAATGTGCAGTCCTCATACATAAACATGAAACAAAGCAATTAGAGCAGGTGATGAGCGGAAAAACTAGCATACCTAATAGGTTGACTTGCTTGTGGCTGTAAGGCCTACACAGGAATCTTGTACATTGCATATTCAGCCATCCCTCCCATGATTCCCTAACATGTGTGAATGGCTGCACTGCTAATGACTGGAAGTGTCAAGTGTGGCCATGGTACAATGCAAGTATAACTTTGTACAGAGGTCATTCAAGCACACTGTATTCAAGGTGAAATGTTTGCAAAACCTGACCACCAGGGATTTAGAGCCCCAAAAGGAATATAGAATAACATAGACAATATGATGGGAACAGCAGTGTCAGAATGTGACCAACTAATATTTGCTGACAAGTAGCATTAAACAAGTCTGGGTTGTTCTTGCATCTATCATAGGTTTAGGCAAAATGCTACAAAACTTAGCAAGTTGGAAAGGTAAAATAAGCTTTTTATAGTTCAATGAGGTCTGGAAGGTCTACAGCAAATTGTGCAGACTTTATGCAGCAAATAAGCTTCCTGTCACATTTGATTAACACTTTGTGAAATAACAATGATGGCTGCTGCTTGTCATGCTTACAATTTATTTTTACAAACAAATATGGTTTCCTCAAAACTGTTGAAGTTACTACACTATAATAATATTTGCCTTCCACACTGTGTGCTTCAACTATACACATGACAATGCTAATCAATTGTTTTCCATGCAATTGTGTAATTTGCCATGATATAGAACCACATGCCATGCAACTTGAAGAACACATGAAGCCAGCATTATTGCTAGGCAGGTTACCATCCTTCAGTCTGCCACTATTACAATGTACTGCAGAGCTGATCCATGTTTTCAACCTGTTTTCAACTTGTTTTGTAAGCCTTCCTAGCCCAATTTGATGCAGCCTAATCATCCAAGATGTATGTATTGCCTTCAAATATGATGTGACTTCATTGTAACTGCTAAGCAATGCAAATGTTTTAGGCTCAAAGGTGAACATGGTGACCTGCATCACAGTATTTGCAAAGATTGCAGTGATGTGGAAAGCTGCAGACTGGCATGGTAAACATGCCAATACAACTACTTTGCCACTTACTTTATTCCACAAATAGCTCATATCATCCAACTGAATGTGGTAGGAACATCAATGTTTATATACACAGCTCAGTGCCTAACATAATTGTATTTTCTGCAGCTATTGAAAACAAACCTACGTAAAAAGAAAATGAGTATAAACAACACAACATCAAAAGTAATAAAAAACTAACAAGATTATATCATCATTTTCCCCACAGTAAATACTGCCACTCCGGGCACAATGGTAGTGCATGGTTGCTGCCAGTTTCAGCCCATAAAGACAATCTTTCAAGGAATTTTGAAATTGTAATGATACTTTCAGGCAAAAATACTACAAAAACATTTTTCAAGCAACATCAACCAAGCACTAAGCCAAATCTAGCCTTACCTTATCATAGCGCATGTGTGCCACCATTTCTGCATGCAATGATGGGGAGGTGTCAGGAGCAGCACATGGATTTTTGAAAACTGAGGCTGGGTTATAACTGTCTGGTTAATAAGTTAATAATATTGAATGCAACGTGGTTAGCAGGCAGCAAATCAAATAAAAACAATGTCATCCTAAGCCCAATTCTACAAACCGGCCCAAGCTATGCTAGACTTGCATGGTTACATTACAGCACAATCATAACGCCTAATTCCAGCTGTTGGTTGCTGGTGCGTGCACACTCAAAAAGATATAGACTCAATATGCGTAACAGTCGAAGTTTCCATCCTTACCTACCAATGCCTGCACCTGGTCACACTTTGAGTCTTTGGGCACATGGGTGAAATATGCCGGCTAAAGAATTATCGCCACTGAATAATCGCCTCGAAGGCGCCACTCAGACACAAGCCCCAAGGCACAAACCCAAATTACGCGCGGATGGATTCTCGCGCGCACAAATGGCAGCGATTCTGGTCGACAAGTGATACCACATTTACCGCACCGTGAGTAAAGTTTTCCCCAACCTTCAACCGGAAAAAAAACAGATTTGTAGGGAAAGCGCTACCGGGATTGACGCACAAGAGGCAGGCGACGAAAATCCAAGTAGTGCCTTGGTGCTACTGCTTTCATGAACAAGCCGTTCTATGTATATATTAAGGTCACTGCTGCCGTTGAGAGGACTATTTTGTTGCGTAAGGATTTAAAGTCAATGTTGTCTTTTTCTCTCCCAGTTGCGACGTTTTGATTTGTTTGTGCTTCATTAAAGTCTTGAAAACACTGTTACGGCGCCCTCGGCCGAAATCTGACGTCTGCACTTACTGCTATGTTTACGCGGGCGTTCTTTTTACGCGAGTTGGGCGCGGTGAACTTCCATCGCAGACTATGATCCGAACAATGCCCGCGTCATACTTTGCTAAGTCATACTCTTCGGAAATATCTTGGATATACCATGGATATGCCTCATTCTCCCGGTTCTTGTCTGGTTGCCATGGGTGTCCTTTTAGAAAACAAGAGCACGAGGAATTTTGGTGGATGTTTCCTGGCCTAGCATGCAACATTTTTGCCATCTTTGTACGCGACACAGAAGTGGTTTATAGATTGCGAATTTCTTGTACATCTGGTAGCTTAAATTCATCCAAGCAGGCATTTGTACCTTCCGAATAATCTACATTCCGACGAGCAGGTTGTCTTGGATTACAATGTCAGGACCCTCGGGTATGCGTCATTCTACATGCGACTTTTTGTGGTGTTACCCGCTTTCAACACGTGTTTTTAGACATTCCTTTGTGAACCGACCTAACTACTAAATGCCAAGTCATGTCACGACACCTGTGCAATATGCAGTTTGCAGTGCATATGCAGAACGCCCACCACCACCGGTCCCCACAATGCTGCAGCGCAGCGCGTGCCGGCACACCGCATCATACTCATTTCGCACAAGTCGTGTATTGTCGCGATTGCTGAGCGCAACATCCGCCCAACACCACGTCTCCGCCGGCGACCACATCCCAGCCAGTTGGGCCGTCGCCCCAGACCGGCGACAGTCCATGTTCCCGGGGCACTGAGGACACTACATCACAGACACGAGCGGGTGCCGGGGCCGGCTGGCAGAGCGCCCGGCCGCCGGTCACGCGGCCTCGGAGCCGGCGCCGGCCGTCAGCGGCAGCAGCAGCACCTGGTTGGCGGCGTCGCGCAGCCGCCACCAGCGGCCGAGCCGGTGCTCCTGGCCGCAGCCCACCAGCAGCCGGTCGCCGGAGGCGCTGAACACCAGCGCGTTGACGAAGCCGGCGGCCGGCAGTGCCATGAGCGGCGCCAGCGAGCCGAAGCCGGCCGCACACCGCCACAGCCGCACCTGGCCGTCCCACGAGCCGGACGCCACCAGGTCAGAGTTGACGAGGGCACCGACGGCCGACACCCAGCGCGGCTGCCGGCTGTCCGGGTACAGGCCGTGCGCTCGCGGCACCGAGCACAGCGGCTTCTTTTTCGCGACGCTCCACAGGCAGACCATACTGCGGAGAGGCGCCCACGGTCACCACACAGGACAGCGGCAGACGGACGGGCCGAGTCATGTGGGCAGTGTCGGCTGGACACCTCAGGCCGGCAGGGCGGGGCCATGTGTCACAAACGCCAGTTCCCAAGTTCAAACGAATGTTACGAGTATTCTAAGACAAAAGAGAAAACAAGTGATAATCCAAAAACCCGTAAAGAGAACATAATTCAAAACATCTCGCGCGGAACGCACGACACCACAGCTGACGCCAAATGCATATTTGGCGTCTTCGGGAACGGCAGCACGAGTGAACACCACGCAGGCCCATCGAAGAATCCCCGGCGTCCATAAGAGCCGCCGTGGATCACATTGGCCGCTCCGGAACGTCCCAGAGTGCCGCGATGACCTACGCGCCGCTCCCGTCGGCTGCAGCTCCACCTACCCGTCCTGACCGCCCGTCACAAAGTGCTCCTCGTTGATGAGCTTGATGCAGTCGATGCTGTCGCGGTGGCCCGGTGAACACCAGCCTGCGACTCCTCGGCCAGCTTCCAGACGCGCACCGTGTTGTCGCGGCCGCCGGCGGTGACGGCGCGCTCCCTGCTCAGCGCGTCCACGGCCGTGACGCCGTCCTGGTGGCGCGAACCTGCGGCGCGAGCCACAGCCTGTCACCGTCGCACCGACAGAGGCGCGGACGGCGGCCCGTCCGCGCCGCCACGCCGCCCAGGCAGCACCGTAGCCCCGCCATCGGCACGCCCCAGTCACATCGTACTAGTCGTAACTTGTTCAGTGCATTCGCAAGGACATTATTCACATAGATAAGACAGACGTAATAGCCTTATTCTTCGGAGAAAAACTAGGAGAACGGAGACAGATAGGTTAATATTCGGCAACATGCACTTCTGCTATTGTTTCGATAGACATGTTGCCATTTATCAACCCATCTATATCTCCATTATCCGGGTTGTTCTCCCAGGAATAACGCGATTAGTGCTGTCTAATCATTACCGGTCGGTTGGCGAAAACCCCGTGACCACATTACCTCTCTCGCGTGCGGCGCACTGCCGTCTGAACTCACAGAGACTCGATGTAGGAGCGGTCGTGCACGCTCCAGACCTTGACCATGCGGTCGGCCGAGGCGCTGAACAGCTGGTGCGTGCCCCGCTGGAAGGCCAGCCCGGTGACGGCGCCCCGGTGGCCGCGGAACACGTGCAGCCGGCTCAGCGTGGCCGGTTCCCACAGCTGGATCAGGTGGCTCATGTCGCCACTCACCTGGCGACACACGGCATACGTCACGCCACAGCTGAACTACATAGCACCCGTCACGCCACAGCTGACACACAACGTCACCCACACCTGGACCAACCACCTGTCACCTACACTGAACCACAACAGCACCTGTCACACCTACAGCTGAACCAACAGCCTGTCCCCACAGCTGAACCAACAGCACCTGTCACACACAGCTGAACCACACAGAACCTGTCACACTGCAGCTGAACCAAACAGCACCTGTCACACAGCTGAACCATACAGCACCTGTCACACACAGCTGAACACACAGCAACTGTCACCCCACAGCTGAACCATACAGCAGGCTGTCGCCCCACAGCTGAACAGCACAGCACCGTCACCGCACAGCTGAACTAAGACATTCCCTCTGCCGGATCACACACCATCCGTTACTGCCCCGACATTGTATGGAACAAGCGAGCATGCATTATCACTGACAAACCCAATACAGCTCTATATTTTCCGCTCCGAACAGCCAAGACTGGCGTGAGCTCATACCAGGTATTTGTTGTCGGACGATATGGCCATGGACATGATGTGCGTGGTGTGGCCCTGGTGCTTGTCCTCCGTGCCCTTCCGACCTCCCGGCACCACCTGGACCCGGGGCGACGGCACGTCTCAAACACCCTGCCAACGAGCAGACGTTAGCCACTCATATACATATTCGGCACGGAGGATCAATTTTCCACCCATGGTTTAAGCGAGAACAACATTTACACCAGCGAATGCAAAGCGTACATACGCAAAGCTACGCAGCCAAGCTAGCATATAATCTAACACCTGCTGACTGCCTACCTGAAGTTACCGTCGCTTGCTTGCCATTAGCACACGCTAGCGCAATTTTTCGCTACAGAGTACGATAAATTACCAAACTCCAATAAGGAATGTTTCGTATGATGACTACACGCCACACAATCACCCTTGGAGTGAAGTGTGGTGACCAAGCGCTAGAGTAATACTATTCTTCGCTCGACTCATTGTCAATCATTATTTTCACTCGTATCACGCAGTAGTTCTCCTAGCAGTAGGCAACCAATAGATAGAATACGATGCGATTACAATAATACTTCCAACAAATGTTTGTTCTGCTCGTAGCTTGCAGTAAGCAGCCACGGTATGTGGAACGAAACCAAAATACGTCAACGACGGCATTCTTGCACAACCAGCTGCGAATAAATGTAATCATTACCAATAAATTCACGAAGGTCCATACAGCTATTCCCGCCCCTCCTGGTAAAGCAATGTGTCATCTAGCTCAGCACTGTGGCTGTCCACCCCAGCATGCTTTTCATGAGCATTTCATGAGCATATCAAAGAGACCACATCAGATCGTTCGGCTATGTAACAGATGGTCTTATACAGCAATGCATAAGGAAATCCGATCTCCTGATCTTGGGTGCGATTACGTGATTTCGGTCAGTCTCCCTTGTGAAGGACGGACTACTCGCCTCAGTGGATTATCAAAACACGCGAATCGGCGCGTTACATTTGGTACTCAATACATAACATATTCGGATACATATCTGATTGTTGTCACAGCTCGGTGGGGCCAATGAAAGCATGTCCCAACGTGTTGAAAACAGCAGAAAATCTCTCGTTCAGGATTCCCATCATCTTCCTGTTCTCTCTCTTTGTTCAGCACTGTGGTCAGCTGGCGCGACATGTGTAGGCCGCACCGCCTCCAGCCCTGGCGCTGCCTCCGCCACGGGCTCCGGCCCGCGGCGTCGTACAATACGGCGACGTACGGTTACGGGTAAGTACGGCGAACGGCTACGTACACTTGATGAGGGCGCAGTCCTTGGAGCCGGTTGTAGAGGTGACGGTCGTCGGGCGAGAGCAGGGCGCAGGTGACGGGCAGCTGCAGCTGGCGGCAGCGCAGCCGGCGCACCCTCGGCTGGCTCTGGGCGGCGCACGGCGTCGGCCAGCGGCCGCTGCAGCCGGCCGGCCCGCTCCAGCACGTCCTGCCGTAGCCGCTCCGACACCGAGCGGCCGGCCCGCTCCGCCGCCTCCGACTCGGCCCGGCCGCGCTCTGGAGGGTCAGACGGCCGGAGCCCGGCGGTGAGACGGTACACCGCGACCCGTGCGGCCTCTCCCCCCCCCCCCCCCCCCCTCCCCGTCACGAGTGAGGCGAAGTAGCGTTACTGGTCAACAGTACCGTCGCTGCCTGTCAATGAGGTGCGGGCTGCCCCGACTATGTTATAATGACTCAAGTCTTCTAAAAATATTCTCAGGTACCAGCATATGTCATAACAACTCAAACAAGCGATGGAATGCATGACTTGGCATGTTAAACACGCCTTGCTTCAATAAGTCTTTAAACAATGGCATTTTACGGCATCCAGCTGCCAGATTTTGCCTACATTATTCACACAAATGAAAATTAGTGTGCTTTCCGGCAACACCAACGACAGAACAATAAGGCAACATCAAAGACATTGCACCTATTCACATTACAACCTGAGCTGCCTTTGATGCAGCCCACAACGGCACAAACACCAAGCTGTGTGCCATCCATCAGCATTCAGCACCTCGGCTTTAGCCCTCTTGTCAATTTAAAGCTGACTACCTACCTTGTCTCTCGATTTCCTCCAGGTAGAGCTTGGCCAGGCGGAGACGCTTCTCCTGAGCAGTCTCCAGCTCGGTCTCCGACAGCTCCGGCTCCTCAGCCGCCACAGGCTCATCTTCCAGCTCATCACTGTCGATCTCTTCATCCTCCTCCTCGACCAGCCGGGCACGCTTGGCCGCTGGCGCCTCTACTGGTCGCTGCTGGAAGGCAAAACTTGGCAATTGACGGCTATAGAATGAGGGCACAGGCTCAGCATACTTACAGGTTAGTATTTTTCTTCTTAAATGGCACCCGGCTTCATACCTACGTTTTGTCCGGAGAGCATGTCATGACAAAAAGTCAATACATAATTGCTGGACTGCAGATGGCCGTTTGTATTTGTCCATTCTTTTGCGAACGAACATAGTGAAAGCTTTCAAGATATAGAAGAATACAGACAAATAGCAGAAAAATTCTGAAAAAAATTCATACAGCACGATGTTAACCTTCGAGAAAGCATGAGTTTAATGCCTGCACAACATATACCCTCGCTGCAATCATCTGAACAGCAGACGCGATATGATCCAAGTGATGCCCTTTGCATGGTTACGAGGCATGGGGCGAAAACGGCTCTGGCTTTTGCTTCGGTTGCACGAAGTCGTAAATGCCCTCTTAAGGCTTCGGATTTGGCTTAAACTTTGAACCAATTTCCCCCCCCCCCCCCCCCCCCCGGCTGTTTTCGGGTTCGTGCCAGTTCAAGCGGTTTGCTTCAGCCTCAGCTTCGGCTTCCGACATTTTTAGCAGCTGGCTTCGGCTTCGGCCTCAACATTGAACATGTTTTGGATGTGGCTACAAACTTTGGCCCCATGCGGATATAAATGTTCCGGCTTTGCAATGCTGACTTATTCACTACATTTGCGGCATACGACAGTCTGTCTGTTCAGTTACCCCCCAAGTACCGCACAACTTTCCAAGGCTGCGATGCGGACATGGCTGGAAGCCAAAACCACGTGGCCATTCTTGGGACCAATCAACACCGTACGAAGGCCGGGTAATCTAAATGTCCATTATGCAAACACTAGCACGGAAGACGATCACGAGCGGTCCACAACAATTTCCGTCCAAGTGTGACACTTTGCCTCAATTATTCCACAAAACCCGTGATTTTTGCTGATGCTCTATTTTTAGCACATAACACTGCGGTTTTGGCGGCACAAAATACCCCCACCCCGCCCCACCAGATTCGGTTACGCCTTCGGCATTCTGATTGTAAACTTATGATCATTTGGCCTTGGCTCTGCACTTCTTACGTACGACGCCCCTGGCATCGGCTCCGTGTTCGCGTGTACAATGTTTGATGTGACTGACTTCGGATTTGGCTTCGCATTTATAAATATGCCGTCATCAGTTTCAGCTTCAGCTTTGCAGTTAAGAGCTTGAAAGCTATCAGCTGAGGCTCCGACTTGAGCTTCATGTTATTGTCTCAACTTTGGATTGGGTTACAAAGACAGAAGCCTGGCTTCATCCCCATGCCTGATGGGTACTGATGGAAAAGACTCCACAATTACCTAAAGTCCTTAATTTTGTATCACAGACAGCATGTTTGAGTTATGCTATGCAAAGAAACGAGCTGACAAGATGTTTTTTTAGTTTGCGACCATTCTCATTTTTGCACCATATCTCCGCACATGAGGGGTACGAAGCGATTCCGGAGTGTCAATGGAACAGGCTATTGGATGACACCATATCTGCGGTAACACCGGCCACCTGTTGCGCTCACACAGCAGGCAAGAAGGATTTTGCTGTAAACGGTGTTTGCTTTTTGTATGACATCTCAGCCCCCAGAGCATGGAGCGACTCATTTTCATGTTTTAACTTAGGATAATGGATTCTCCTCTTTTCCAGGGGTTTATACCTTTTGTACCGCAGCTCTGCATGTAGGACTAAGACACACCTGGGAGTGGCATGCATTGATAGGGTATCAATTGAAAAAACTTGTGGTATAACATGTAACATGCACATGACATGTGTCACATGTACATGATCCATGGTGCATTGACTTGGCCCTATCAACCATTTTCATGTTTTGCATTGTATCTTAGTACCTAGAACAGCTACAAATGTGAATCAAACTGCAAAAATTAGATTATTTCAATCTCAACCTATTGCACAGGAAAGCAGGCACACAAATGCTTGCGCTACCTGCGGGAAACAGCGCAGGGCCAGGATCTGTAGAAGGCAGTGGAAATGAAGACAGAATGGCAAACCTAAGGTGCCCTGGTGTACTTGTATGCTTATCATGTGTATCACAACATGTTGGCTCCCAGCTCAATGTTTGACCAAATAGTTTTGACCAGATGTTTTAATAAACACAATGAGCTGTTATATGCATCTTTTAAGGCATGTGGACAAACATGTAGTAACAGGGAAGAAGTTTCACAGTATGATTTTGGGCAGGGCTGAGCAGTCAAAAGTGACACCACCCCCACTCAAGCTATGCCAACAAACAGGATTCTTGCCAGATTTGATCAACTTTATTTTCAAACTTGGGGAGAGCCCATGTTGAGGGAACCCCCACCAAATAGAAATGTACATCCCTGTGTGGTAAAACATCACATGCCCTTTATGTACTTGTACATCAAAACATTTAAATTGCATACACCTACATATTGCAATACAGCACATACCTTCTTTTTGTCTTTCTTTGCCTTGACTTTTGAACTTGACTTCTTCCTGATGAAAAATGGCATGATGATCTGAAAAGTAAAGCCATGATACACAGAGAATCAAAGTTTTCTCCATGGCCTGATGTGGTAATGAATTATCACAAAAAGCAGCTCAGGATGGGAAACCAATGCCAAAGCTGCTATCAATGTGCTTATGTTTGACTTATATCATGGTCACATTATATCTGGAAGCACTTGGTTTACATAACTCTTTTCACTTGCCTGGTGGCCACTTGTCTGGGCATACCTAAAATCCATACTCAGCACAACCTGATTCAACAATGGAGCATATTCACATTTGTCATCACCCAACATCCTGAAAATCCGTGCCCCTTTTTTGGCTGTGGTGCTTCATGGCCAGCATATTTCTAGCCCTACACTGATCAAATACACTGGTGTTGGCTTGAAAACACCGTAACATACAAAGCAATGTGATGACTTACCTGTGCGAATACCTGCCACTCAAAGAATCGTACCACTGGACGCCTTGCGAGATGCTGGCTTGATCACGACGACAGGAGTTCTACGACAACACAAGATATGACACTGAATAAATCCATATTCAAGAAAGAACAGCGACTTGGTGTCAACGCTCTACCACAAACGACCACTCAAATGCTCACGAACCACCAAACACCGCGGGCGACAGACACGTGAGCGCTACGCTTTGCGCACGTCGTACCGGAAACAGTTGCGCTGAAATCGTCGCTAAATCGCACATTTCAAGGATAGCGTTATTTCACTGCCATTTATGCAGTTTGCCTTGCTCAAAACAACGGCTCGGCTTTTTCAAGGAGAAGATTTTAACTGAGACATTTCTTCTTCCAAATACCTTGGGCCCGCAGGAAACGGTGTAGTAAGTCAGCGATCATTCATACATCACGCTATGCACCTATGGTGGAGGAGCCAAGGGAACGTAACCGAAGTGCTTGCCGAAACGTAGGTATGGCAAGTCGGATAGCATAATGTTGTCTAAACCGTGATTAAAATTTTTGTTAAGATAACGATAAATACAGCAGACAATGCAGGTGCTGTCTAGCAACACTTCCATTTTTGTCTCGCGCTTCTTGCTGAATTAGGGGCCAAACGCAAGCTATGTCTTTGGGAGTTCACTTCTGCTAGCACAGCATAACCAAAGATGGGGCATTCACGAAACGAAGTCAATGCATAACAGCGGGATAGGGTCGAAAAAGGACATGATACTATGTAATTTGGTTCACGGACGGCCCTCAACACATATGCAACTTGTGTTGGAGCCTCCATGGCTGTCTGCCTGTCGTCTTTTTCTGTCAGCGCACTTGCGGGTGAAACGGTACGCGGAACGTGGCTAAAAATTATGTCCGACCCGTGCGTGCACGAGATGGTTCACGGCTGCAGTGCCAAGTGGCCGGCGTGCGTAAAGTGGTGCACGCGCGTGGTCCGTGCTGAAAGGTCTGTTTTTAGCCCCATAGTGCTTACATTAACAAGCACCCGGGTAACCGGTTGAATGTCACGCGCGTGGGCGGGGGTGGGATGTCAGTGGTGATCTCCTACCCCCTTTCGGGTGTGGGTGTGGGATCAATTTAACCCACCTGAGACTTCAAAAGCTAAGAAAACTAGAGGCATCAAATTCGCAGGGTGGATAGGAGGGCCTGTACGTAATAACCCGAATACCAAGTGCTAATCAGGTCACTGATTTCATTTCAGGTCAGTCACCTGATTTGACATGCAGAAAGGTCACGGTGGCTAAAAACATGGGACATTGTTTTGATTTTTTGGAATTAAGTAAGCGTCAAGGATTACGCCAGGCGGTATGTTCCTAAAAACAAAAGGTTGATAGCCACCATCTGAGGTCAGCGACTTTATCGGACCTTCATGAAGTCCAAATAGGATGTTTATTGATGTCCTTGTGGTAAAAAGTGGAATTGAGCGTTAAAATTATACCTCTTTAAGCAAGCATCCCAGTAAAAAGAACAATTTGCGTTTGACCTCGGTCTGACTTTCTTAACCGACTCACAATGAGTGGATTTAGTCGGGGGATTATCGCAACGCGTAATTTTCGTAACCACTAATGTATCACGCCACATAATGGTCCAAACGTCTCATGTACCTGCCCGTAGGGCCGTAATCTCAGAGACCAGTTAGAGAGCCTCTTGCCCGGACTGGGGACCCCTGAAAACGAGCATTCTTTTGTTTCGGTCAGAGGTCACCAACACCGAGCAGTCGGCTCCGTGTCGATCTGAGCTCTGGCGGCCCAATTCCCAAGCAGGGACAATGCCAGGCACGCGATTTACATTGATCGAGGTCCTTACGACAATGCCGAGCTCCTGTACCATTCAGGGGTTCATAGTGCCGGATAAGGTATTATGCGTCAATAACGGGCCTCGAGTCTGTCAGAAAAAGTTGTGCTGAACAGGGACGGTGCCGGGATCGCGAATGACAGCGACCTCTGCGTTGGTCGGGGCCCTCTGACAATGGAAAAAAACATGACAGCTCATGACGATTGTTAACGTTTAGGCGATGGAAGTGTCCTGTGCCAGGAAGGGCTCCCGGTACCGAAAGGCGGACCCTCCAACCCAACTCCGGCATGAGCCCGTTAAGCCGAGCAAGGGTCTATGTGCCAATTATTTGATCACCTGTGGCGATCAGGAATGTTATTACGTCAGTGGGGGTTCCTGCATTAATTTGGGGTTACCTGCAGTCTGCGCGGGTCAGAACGCCTCCCGCGTCAGGGAGGGGACCAATGTGATATGATGCATCCCTCTTGGGGCCTCCGGATCGGCCAGGGATCCCTCCCCGTGTCGCCAGGATGGCTATCGGAAGACACCCCGCAGTGGGACGAAATGGCCCTTCAGCCCTTGACTGGAAACAATAATGTGCCCCCCTAGTGTTTTTCTCAAGGAGGGTTCATTTCCGGAGACAAGGAATGGGCCTCACAAGTGTTTTCAAAAGAGTGGGTCGAAATGAGCTCAGATATCGAATGAGACCATCCCATGTTTGCCTGAGAACGTTTCTTCTTTTGCAGAGGTGGACTGGCGAAGCAAATGATCAAAATGTTTTGAGCTTACGCGCCTGCAATCTCCGAATCAAGGACAGCGAAAGTCTGGGTTGCGGTTTTCCGTAAACCGACTGACGGTGGCCACTGCAAGTAACACCAGGCGGCGGGTGCCGTGCGCGCGAGAGCGACCGTCGTGGAGTAGTACTTCCGAATGCCTTAACAAATAAATTCGTACCGTTCAAACCTTAGGACGCGGCGTATCTTGCAACATCTTTGAAGCTGTCCTCTGGACAGATCAACAGCTGCAGCAACACAAAAATAGAGATTTTACCTTCACTCCTCCAGTTCTGCGGCTAGATTGCAGCAACACAAGTGGTGCTGCAAAGGCCAATCTATTTAAATCTATCAATCTAAAATCGCACAGGTGAAATCTTCGACGGGCTACCTTCTATATGTACGTTTTAAAGTCCATAGCGTTCAAGGGTACTTCTGTCAAATGTGTCACTAGTTTCGTCCATCCGTTAGCCATGGCTCGGTGTTAGCCACGGAGCCGATGCTGCGCTGCCTACGGAGACTGCAACGTGTGGAGTCGCGGTTTTTAAAGGTTTGCGAGAATGTATGCTCAAAACTACGTTCATCATTTGCATCATCAATAGCATTTGATTCAGTGCTGAACATTTCCAGACAAACATGGCTTGGCCAAGTCAATGCGCATTGTTGACCGATTTCGATCTACAATCTAAATTCGCATGGGCCTGACATCTCCCCAGACCCCAGAGAAAGATTCCGACAAAACTCCTGACTTGTATAGATTCAGAAAACGTCTACTGGACCGTTGTACAGAGAAGAACGCTGGTAATTTATGTCATGCAGTCGTTTGACGCATAATTTTTCTTCAGTTGATTGCCTACAAATTTCAGGCGGAATCGATATCGCGGTAGCTTCTGGCTTCTATTCCAGTTATAGAACTTAGAGTGAAAAAGCATGCCCGCATTAACAAATGGGTCATATTCGGTGATGTATGGTTTGGTTTTTACTATCGGGGGGCCCTTTGCGAGCCTTGTGCCCCTCCCTCGCCAAGTCTCTGGCTGCTCGCCTGTACTGAAATAAAGGAACCCATCGTTTCGGCGGCCCTCCGTTAAGTCTCTGCCCCCAACCCAAATTCGGACACGCCGGTAGAGGAACAAAACTCCCAGGATGGGTGGGTGCTACAGGGACCTACAAGGGAACTTGTATGATGTTGCATTTTGGATGTTTTACATGGTTTGGCTTGTCATCCTTGTAAATCGAATCCCATTGACCTATTATGAACTCGACCTGACTTGATCTCGGTTACCCGACATGACGTTTATATTATAACGTATAGCAGAACACATAAAAAATGTCGCGGAACATTCCCTCACTGCAGGTACACCGGCAGCGCGTCAGCGCCTATTCTCACTCTCTGACGCTGGCTACGCTGTGACTTAGTCAGCCCGTGATGTCACACCTTCCCGGTCAATTTTCGGCTACTTTGCTTTCAACGACCGTCTAGGGTTTCATGATCAGGTAGCAGAATCTCAATGGTGGGTATATGTTTTTGAAAGATGAGTATTTTCGTGCAGCGCACTTAGCCGTATATAAGTCAATGCAGAACAAACAATGTCGCGTTTTGGTGAACGCCAGGGTAGGGCGAAAGTTTTATATTCAGTCGGACTCTACCTGACCCTCATCTTTCAGAATGTGTCATATTCGGGGAAGATATCTTGATAACTTTTTTGAAAGTGCTGTATGCGTTTGGGTCAGGTACGGCCGTTTTTCTTGCTTGCCCCTCAAAACTTGTTTTGCAACTCTACGACACTGAACTAAGGCGTTTTCACAGCAGGCAAAAAAAAAACACGTGAAACTATTGCCGTCGTGGATTTGCCGATCGCTATTACTTGCAGCAGTAATTTGTGTGGAAACCACTGGAGCGGGAACTTCCAGTCTGATTTCGACCGTCGAAGTGATTGCATGTGTTCGCTTCCTCTTGTTTTAAGTGAGGTTCAAACCTACGAGTAGCGCTGAATGGTACAATTTTAAGTGAGCCAGTATGGTAGAGCACAAATGCTAGCTTAGCAAATATTGGCATTAGAAGCAATATCGCGTCTAGGTAGACTACGCAGGTTTTGACAGCAGGCATGATGACGAGTATCAGTTCTTTTAGTGCACATTTTGTCGCGTGGGATTAATTCCATCTGACCAAGACAAAAAGGCATCGAGCGCTCAGGCCATTAATGGCGAAGCCTCATGACAGGAACGATCAGCTGGCGAAAACAGGTTAGAGGCCAACTGCCGATGTCGTTACAGAAGCTGAGTTTGACAAGCAGCATTCCCACCGCAGTGATGGCACGCCGTACGCGCTGGGGTAAATAAAACACGCCTGTGATTATCATCCATGTATTTGATATATCGTCCGACTGCTCTGATCGCTGTCGTTTGCACATGCGTGAGTAAAGAGCCCATACGACCAACAGTATGCGCTGGGCGTGACAGCCATCCTTCTCTCAAAGCCCGGCACTGGTGCTGCCCCATCCGTTGGTAGCCCATAGCTACCGGCTAAACAAGCTTTTTAATTAGTCAGCATTCACCCTGGATCGCGCAGATAGCTGGATTGAGGTAGGTGCAAAGTGCAGACGCCGTTGCCGTTGCCTATTTTCCAATACTGCATCAACAATGACGTTATGGACCCATTGGATAGGAGTGGACGTGGAGTGGACAATGCTGCATCAACGATGACGTGACGAATCCATTGGATTGGAGCAGACGTGGAGCGGACAATGCTGCATTAACAATGACGTCATGGATCCATCGGATTGGAGCAGACGTGGAGCGGACAAAGCCGCCGGTCCCTGGGTGCGATAGGCACCGCTAGAGAGAGAGAGCTCTGGAGAGAGCTCAGTATCGACGCAAACCTCCAGAGATGACGTGTACATGCTGCAAGACGCAGCGAGTGATGCTGGCTGCATTTTTTCACGATTGGCAGCGATAATATAATTATCCCGCTGTCGAAAAATGTTCAGGTGAAAGGTATTCTGAACAACTTTTACGGTCATTAAAGGGAGTCCTGTAACACGATGAACAGTCAGGTAGGTCTGGTTGGGAGCCGCTAGCAGAGCCTACGAGTGGGAAGATCGTGTAAGGAAAATTCTGGCCATGAAGATCCCTAGATCAAGATAAGGTGGCGTAACCAGCCCAGCGTGTAGACCGCTCATGTTTCACCAAAACTTTTTGACGGAGGGATTGTTGGATTCATGACCCTATTGTTTCTTTTTGTTTTATTTGCATTGGGGTCGCGTTAAATAAAGCGGGATTGGCACGGAAGTCAAGTTTAAACCGTGTTGTGCTTGTAGGTGTACAACTTCGAAACAGGGGGCAGGCCGGGTGGGTGGGGCGTCCCACCCCGGGCCAGGGGGCCTGTCTTTCACCGCGACGATGGGCCTGGAAGCCTGCATAAGTGAGCAGCGGGCCATGCGCTTCAATAATCGAACTTATTTTAAGCAAACCGATACTTAAAACGACAGCATCAAGTAGCCTTTTAAGGCGCGACTGCACGCGTGGCAGCTGTGATTGACTATGCGTGTCATCCAGAGGGCATTCCCAGCCGGAACATCCGAGGCGTTGCCTCAAGAAAACGCGCCTACCACGACAATTGACTTTGAGTTAGGCGTGAGGAAAGATGCGGGATACTTCCGCTATCCATACAGTACCCCTCCTTCGCAAGAGATCTTCCGTCTTCCGCTACACAGTGATCATTTTGGAGAAATTAGAACATCACACGGGCCCACGGGAACGCGATTTTCGCCCGGTCTTACTTTCACTAAAGCGGCATTTTGTGCACTGGCACCACAGGCAAAGACAAGGCGGGAAAATCGGTATGAAAATCGGAAAGGTGGTATAGTGATAAGTCAAGTATTAGGGATTTCGCGGGGCTGATAGCTGATATTGCATTTGTATATTTTGCTCGTTTCAGCCAAATTAAAATTCTAGCACAGTTCGTGGCCCTTAAGGTCCTTAAGACCTTATACTCTTAAGGATAATTGGTGAAAAGGTTGATCTGCTCCACTCCGACATAGCAAACTGTTAGCTGTTTTCAGATACGGTGAGATGCCACATAGTTGCCACATGGATCGCCGACCGTCCTTCACACGCTCCGAAACTGTGTCAAAAATACCTGGTAAGTCAAATTGCACCCTCAACCCCCAGCGTGACTAGACATTGTGTCAGGATCGTACCAAGCCTGTGGGTGGTTTGGTGTTCACGGTGTTCAGTAAGACCGCCACCCTGCTCCTAAAGAAGACCAGAATGCCATGCACAAGCTAGTAACGCTCGGATCATGGCTTCATATGAGACGGTGATTTTAATAAAACACACAGTGCCTCTAAATACAAGGAGGTAGGAACTTCCAAAATGGATAAGAAGGAAGGATCCAAATTGCAAGGCAGTTTTTTCATGAATTGCCGTACGGTCATGGTCACGCTTTGACGAAAACTGGGCAAAATATGGCCCGAACGTCTATCCTCGAATAGGACGAGCCTCTTAAAAAGGACTGCTTCCCACACCTTCGCCGTGCGTTTGAGAAAATAGGATTTTTAGAATGGCTGCATGAAAAAGACAGCGAGAAGAGCGAAGAACAGATCACAATCACTCACGACACTTCCGCATTATCCTGTCAGCCAACAACGCTTAGCAACATAACTCAACGATAAAACGAGGTTATAATCCCACGTAGTAACAACATCTATAGCCCTAACAGGCGTCCATATTCTCCTGAACTCTTGCCGGTCCGTGCCAGCTCCGTCCGCGTAGGCAAGGTTGTGGAGGTGTTCCGGGAGGAGGGTCGGCAGCTGGACCCCGCTGGTCGGCCGGGCACGCCGCCCCTCAGCGCGCGTCGCACCGCTGCAGGTTACGCTCCGGCCGCAGCACGAAGTCGATGATGTGGATCACGCCGTTGGCGACGGGGATGTCGGCGCGAATCACCTGCGCCTGCTTGCTGACGGTGGAGATGCGGCCTGGAACGACGGCGCTGGCGTCAGCGGCGTCCGCTGGACGGCCGGCGGCCCGGCCCGGCGGGCGGCGGGCGGGCACCGGCCAGCGGGCGGCGGCCGAGCGGGGCAGGCGGGGCTCCGCCGCGATCACCGACAGAGCCTCGTTCAGGGGTCACTCTTCTAACACTCTAACACACACCGACACCGGCGCGTCTGCTACAGCAGGCGGGCTCCGCTGCGGTCACCGACAGAGCCGCGGGTCCGGGGCCCACTCCTCCTAACACACACGACACCGACGCGTCTGCCACAGCAGGCGGGCTCCGCTGCGGTCACCGACAGAGCCGCGGTCAGGGGCCACTCCTCTAACACACACGACACCGGCGCGTCTGTACAGCAGGCGGGCTCCGCTGCGGTCACCGACAGAGCCTCGTTCAGGTGGGCACTCCTCTAACACACACGCCACGCGGCGCTTCTGTACAGCAGGCGGGCTCCGCTGCGGTACACCAACGGAGCCTCGTTCAGGGGCCACTCCTCTAACACACACGACACCGGCGCGTCTGCTACAGCAGGCGGGCTCCGCTGCGGTCACCAACGGAGCCGCGATCAGGCGCCACTCCTCTAACACACACGCCACCGGCGCGTCTGCTACAGCAGGCGGGCTCCGCTGCGGTCACCAACGGAGCCGCGGTCAGGCGCCACTCCTCTAACACACACAACACCGGCGCGTCTGCTACAGCAGGCGAGCGACAGAGGCGACCGCCGCTCGCCCGGCGGCGTCTACTCACGCGTGTAGCCGTCGGTGACGACCTGCAGCTGCAGCTCCTGCCCGTCGAGCAGCGTCTCCAGCCACTGGCCGTCGCGCACGCCGGCGCTGTAGAACGCGCCCGGCACCAGGTGGTACAGCAGAGAGTCTGCGAACGCGGCAGCACAGCGCCGGTCAACGAGGAGCGGCCGCTGCCGGCATCGCGACGCCGACTACCGACAGACAGCTGGCGTCGCCGTCACGCCCCGTCTGTCGTTACGGCCCGCCTGCCGTCACGGCCTCCGCGACCGTCCCAGTAACGGCCACTGCCTCCGCCGCAGTGGTCCTCTAGTGCTGCACGCCAGAGGCACGTCACCGTCCTTGTCGGATACCGCATGCCGCAGCCCGTCGGCGCGGTATGCCGATCTGCACGTATGTATGCTGCGTACGCCGCTGCATGAATGTAGTCGACAGGTATGTGCAGGTGTAGCACCTAACCTTTGCAAGTAATACGACATCCCAAGCTATCTAAACAATGTTTAACGATATGATTATAACTGGTCTGGATATAACTATAACTGGATATATAACTGGTTCGGACACACGTCACACAGTGTGACCCCAATCACAGACTGATCGTCGGTTACAGTGTACAGCGATGTCGCGAGTGAGAGTCCTGCCGCCGCACAGCGACCCGGGATGCTGCGGGCACCGGCTTCCGCCGGGCACCAAGAGCAGGCGAGGAGCGGCGGCGACGGCAGCCCACAGTACGCGGCCGGCGCACCCCGTCCGCCGCTGACAGCGGCTCAGCACACATACTCTGCATGACGATGGAGCTGTTGCTGAAGTCCTCGGACACATTCTCCGTGTCGCTGAAGGCCGCCGAGATGGGCAGGAACAGCGTCAGCGGCGCCTCCTGGCTCAGCAGCTCAGTCACCCCCAGCCTCGCCACTATGCTGGCGATGCCTGCAGCGACCGCACAGCGACTGTCAGCACCGACAAGCCGCCGCAGCGCGCTGAAAGCCACCAGCTCACACCGCGTGCTGCACTCGAACGCTAACAACTGTTTCCGTGTCTGCAATTCTATCCGCGCGGTTGTCCTATCAGTTGCGACCACAGTCGGCCGGTTGGTCGCCACGGCAGCTCACCGCCGAAGTCGAGGTCGGCGCACTCCCGCGTCGTGACGTACTCCAGCGCATTCACGCTGGCTTCGGCCACCAGTGCCCTGTCGATTACGTGCACCACGCCGCTGGAGGCGCTGGCGTCGCTGCGCAGCACCTGCGCCCCGTTCACGGTCACCACGCGCTGCAACGAGACGCCAACTCCGTCACATATCGTTCGTGTTCTGGTAACGACGGGCGGGTGACGAGGGTTTGGCAGCAGGCCCCGTAGCAGTGCGTGGTCCGCGAGCGCAGTGGCGAGCTTATGCGAACTGACGTGAATGCCAGGAATGAGAGCTTACAACGGGCATTATGAGCCCGATGAGCGCGACTGGACAGCGGATGGTATGTGTGTCGAACTATCCGGCGCAAATCTCGGTCGCCACTGCCGAAAAGGAAACAGGGTTTAACGGATTCGAAGCTGCATGCAGGAAACGTCACGCCGCTGTCTCACAGAATATTTACACTCCTCTGGAACAGCAACATTTGTGCGACGCGAAGTGAGACAGTTTGCTTCCGGACGCGCCTCTCGGGTCGGCGCGTTCGGCAAGCCGCGCCGCCCGCACCGCCCGGCAGCGACGGCCTCGGCGCTTGGCCGGGCTCACCTTGCTGTAGCGGCTCATCTGGTAGATGTTGATGCGCAGCGTGGCGCCGCTGGGACTGGCGCTCTTCACCACCATGTTGTCGTTGAAGCTGGCCAGCTTGAGCGCCACGGGCGTGATGTGGTGCAGCAGCAGCCGGCGCAGCCGCTCCGGGTCGGCCGTCAGCTGAGCGCGCAGGTTGTATGGCAGCATGGCCCAGGCCTCGTCCGTGAAGGCGAACACGGTGAACCCTCCTGTCGGCGCGCAAATGACGCAGTCGCTGGTCAGAGATGTCGCCGCGTCGCGGCTTCTGAGCGTCACAGAGCCACGTCACCACACTAGGTCGAAACGATTTAAGGGAACAGTTCCACCGAAAAATTATATTGAGTATACTTCCTATGAGACAATCCCGCACAATCAAATTAATGTGTGCATCCTTCCTCATCACAGCAGTTTTTGCTCCACATTGTAATAATTCAGCGACATCTTAGCCGTAGTCCCAACCCTTTAGGAGAAAGCAAGCTGCGGTGTTAATAAGGAGCAGCGCACGAATTATACCGCAGAACAGGTAGACCACGAGGCAGATAGCCAAGACTACAACGAAATTGAGAGACTCAGAGACGATTAAAGATATTGAAACATGTGGAGACAAGACGACGCCGTCTCGTAGAAACGTGGGGAAATATGGGCTGAGCAGAAAATACCGGCGGCCAGAAAGCGAAGGTCCTTTGGCCGACCCTCAGCGAGCAGACAGTCTAGCGGAAAAAAAACGCGGCCGGAAAAACCACAGCTCCGTGGCGTCACACGCCCATAATGATGCAAGCATAAACAGCGAGAGCAGCCTCAAGCCTTCCATGCTCTGTGTGTCACTTTAAGTGCGCTGAGGTTTTTAGTTATCTTCAGTATCTCCCTGGCATCTTTGCTCGAACTTCCATCCACGTTGCTCGTCACTGGAAGGCAGTGGTAGCGGCGAAGGAAGGTAGTGGTAGCAATGCTCACAACAGCCGATGTGAATGCACTAAAGGTGGGTGTGTCTCTCATTCGGTGCACTTCACGGACAGCTGCGCCTAATTTTCCGTTGGAGTGCCTTATGTGTGCCTGACCATTTACTAGCCGAAAGCAGACTGGGATGGTTACAGTTTGGAACTTGGAAAGCGCGCAAAGAATGCGTCGGCGTGAAGGAACAGCACTCGGTTTTCAAACGATGTTGGCAAAAGGCGTGTTATTTGTTCAAACGTTTGCGCATATGTGCAAAAAGTTGTGTATGGGGAGGCACGGGAACCGATGAGATCAGAGAGACTAGGTCCGAAAAGTTTAGCATCGACCCCAGTTGCGTTGGCTGGAAAGAAAACAAAACAATCCCTATTGACTACCAACTTAAGGGTTTCCGCTGCTTCTGAATGTATGCTTTGTAGCGGTCCGGCAATCTGACTTCATTGCAAGTGCCCTTATGTAGTATTATCTCCGGCACTGACGGAGCCCTATCTCCGGCACCTATGGAGCCCCATCTCTGGCACTGATGGAACCCCGCCTCCAACACTTATGGAGTCCTATCTCCGGAACTTATGGAGTCCCATCTCCGGCACCTATGGAGCCCATCTTTGGCACTCATGGAACCCCACCTCCGGCACTTATGGAACCCAATCTCTGGCACTTATGGAGCCCATCTCTGGCACTCATGGAACCCTACCTCCGGCACTTATGGAGTCCCATCTCCGGCACCTATGGAGCCCCATCTCCGGCATTTATGGAGCTCCATCTCCAGCACTTATTGAGCTCCATCTCCGGCGCGCGAGATGCCTGTCATGCACAGCCCTGGCTCCGGCGCTTATCATAAGACGGCCAGCAAAGCCGCTCAGGCCATGCAGCAGCATTGACTCCACCGACCTCGTTGACTTAAAACCAGCATCACTGGCTTTTAGTAGATAATTTTCATAAAAATTTCACGTGTGTGTCATGACACGAGTTAAGACATCCAGAGTTTTGAGGTTAGTCATTGCTAAACGTAGTTCTTGCGTTTAGCATGATGATATTGGTGACCAAAAAGTTATTAAAATTAATCCAAAAGTTATTAAAACACTTAGAAGACGAGTAATCCCTGTCTCGACCTTTCGCGTCCCATAACTTTCACGTCACCATTGCCACGTGTTAGTCAGTTCAGTTCATGATGGAGTGGCAGTGATCTCGTGGGGTACTTTGACATAAACATTAGCATTCCATATCACATGACCTAGACATTGAAAGATCCTTTCAAAAACCACTGCATTGACTACGCTGATAATGTTACCGTCTCACATCTTCGAAACCTAGGCATTGTCATCTCGTGCAGATTAGACAGTGATCTAGCAGAGGAATGGGCTTTTGTGACCGTGTCCCAAACCCGTCCCCCGGGGAGGTGACGGGGTCCCCTATTATCCAAGGCCCCAGGACTTTTGGACAGTTCGAGACGCTTGTAAGGCTTCTGAAATATAAAAAACGGCCCTTGGGACATCAAATGGGATCATGAGCCCTTACAGTCCACCTGAATCCAAAAGCCCCATATAGCAACGAAGTAGCCGCCTTCAATGAAAATGTCCCCTGTTTTTCGGCACCCTCCCGTGCGAAATCCTGGCTACGCCATTGCATACGAAATTGTCAAAAGTGCGGCGCAAAGCGCTAATTTCTCGAGATTTCTGGCGTGCAGACCTCTGGGAGTTAGCTGACCGCGCAATGATCTGATATGGTAAAGATTCAAGCCCTCCGATCAGGGTCAAAGATCTTCAAACCCAGCCAGCGAAAGTTGCATAAAGATCTGCCGAATGGCTCACTTCGGACATTCAAAAAACCGGACGGATGCAGCGCACCAGCACCTTATCTGGAGAGAGTTAAATTGCGCCAACAGATTCTAAGATGACCTGCTTTGCGGGCGAGCCTTTCACGCTGCCAAACACAAGCACCGCATGCAACAATAACACAGTTACATAATAGCAGACATCAGCTGCGACCATCTGCCGAAAAGACGAGCACAAGGCCGCTGCCGAGGCCGGCCCAGTGCAGCGGCGGCAGCGACAGCGGGCCGACGCGTCAGCGACAGTCGCCGTGCCGCCGGCCGGCTGCCGGGACCGCCAGCCCCACGCGCGGCGAAAGGTGCGCGTCGGGCCAGGTGGCGCACCGCCCGCCGTCAGATGGCCGGCTAGGGTGGCGACACGGCACTGCTGGCCGGCGGCAGCTGCGGGCGAGGGAGCCGCCGGCGTCGCTCCCACGGCACAGGCACGGGTCTCTGCGCCGCGCACGCGCATCTCACAGGCGCAGCCGGCGGGGGGTGGCGTAACGCAGCCCGTCAGCTGGACGGCTCTGGGTTAGGCCCACCCTCCGATGCGAAGTGCCGTTAATGTCGCGCTGGATCAAAGCGGCGTCCGATGATCATTAAAGCACAATTTAGAGCCCACATGTCCCTTCTTTCAGCAGCCAGCAGGCCAACGAAACACATTCACCGTGAATTTAGCAATCGCCGAGCTGGCAAGATGCGAGTCGTCCAGGACAATGCCACGAAGAGAGCACCTTTCCTACTCTCCTCTGTGATCACAGCTAGAGGGCTTCAACGGTTGGGTAAGCCCGTGCGTACCCACGTGAAATGGGTAACGGTTGAATGGGGTCCAGATTTAAGAAAATTACGGCTATGGGTCGTTTACGAAATGCCGGGTGGATGCTTCTTAACAAAAGAAGCGCGATGCACGTCGTCGCGTGCCCTTTTGCAGAGCACCACCGCCTACAGAATCCACATTAGAACCCAAGTGCATGGTGCGACCGGGATTCGAACCCGGACACCAAGCGGGAACCGAAGGCGTTAACCCCCCGGCTATTCGCCCCCTCGAGTGGATGCTTCAGGACATGCTATATGACTTTACTTCTTGAGCTTATTTTAGTCATAATTAGCTCTATTCACCTTCCTTTTGCAAATTTCAACCCAAAAGAGGAGGTTTGAGCGTAAGCCATCCAGAAACACACTTATACCAAAGCGCTGAGAATGATTTAGCATTTAAGTATCATTATGAACTAATAATTCAGAGCAAAAGTGCTGAAAAACGCAGAGATAGATAACGAGTGGGTACAAATCATAACGAGTGCGTAGCGGGTGGATATGGGCACAGCCCCATGGGTAGCGGGTGGACATGGATATAATCCCATGGGTAGCGGATGGATATGGGCACAACCCCATGGGTAGCGGGTGGATTGGGCACAACAAAGCTTAGCCGTGTAGGCCTCTAGCCTTAGCCATATGACCCATCCTTACAGCATTACTGCCGTAAATCCGGTCCAACTCTGCGTCGAACACACATAACACACAACACCAAAGGGCAATAACAGTCAGCAGTGCGCTATTAAAGGGGCGATAGGACGAGCAGTCATCTCAAGCCACGCTGCCAGCACGCAGCCGCCTCACGTTTACCGAACGTTGCTGGATATGTTGCTATATATATATATATATATATATATATATATATATATATATATCATAACTAGCGCGTAACATGCGACATTCATTGTGCTCGATATACTTAAGCTTTGCCACGTTATATGGACTTAAGCTGTAAAAAACGATCACAAGTATGGCTTGGGTAATGAACATATCAGAAAACTGTATCTGGCGTATGAGAAGCACACCGCCCTGATTTGCTCGCCCTAGATCCATGCGCTAAGGTATGGACAACAAATTTTGTCAGTTCATTTCGAAGGTTTTCATGCAGGCTTGGTGGAATCAAAATAGACTCCAAATGAATTCTCCATCGTCTTGACAAGTGTTTGAGAGAGCGTCTGCCCTGTTCTGGACCGGCTTGAACATGTGGCCGTGCTGCAGCGCGTGGGCGACTGAGGCTGCAGCGGGCGCTTCAGTCACCATAGTGCTTGTGGCACTATGACGCTGACTCGAATGATGAAAAACGGATGCACTACAGCCTTGTCTCGTCATTTAAACACTTTGTCCGGACGTTATCCATCAATAGTTTTGGGGCGAATAGACGGTGAATTAAAAATTGTAAGGATGGATTTTTGGGTCGTAGGCTGCTGAAAAAACTTGCTGGAAAAACACTCATCACCACCCAGAAGGGCTACTCCAGCCTGATGGGCACTTTTCCCCACCTCCTTTGAGCCAAACAACTGCCAACATATCCGCCCGACGGTGGCCATATTTTCGCCGCTCTATCAGCTGACTTACGATGACGACATGAGAGCAGCGCTGTTATGACGAATACCGATGACATAACTGGTCCCAACCAAGAAACACAAGGTGCTGTGCCTTGTCAATGCAAGACTGAACCACGGAACATTGGTCGACAAGGTAACGGGCGTGTGGTCTAAGGGCCAACAATGTGACAGAAAACCTGGGCGACGAGACGCAGGGATCTGACCTGTTTGCTATGATCCAGAGCTGCAATAAGACACGGAACCATCTGTGAACGGAGACCAGCCACGCTGGGTTGAGACGAACGACTGTGCATGGTTCACTGGAGGACGCATGCATACAATTGGAGGACGCACACATGCAGGAAATGACAACCAGACCGGTGAGAGGGGGGGGGGGAGGGGCGGGGGCAGGGAGGTGTTTGCCACTCACCTCGCGAGAGCAGCAGCTTCTCCAGGCCGGCGCGCTCCACCAGCGCCATGAAGCGCAGCAGGCCGAGCTGGCGCAGTCGCTCAGGCAGCGAGGTGGTCGACTTGACCCGGCTGCTGCCCGCCACCGGCTCCGGCCCGCTGGCGGCCGCCTGCAGCGCCACCTGCGGCCCCTGTTGCAGTACCCCGGGTCCAGCCAGCCGCGGCCGGCCGTCCAGCCGCGCCGGCGCCACCACCACCACGTTCGACTCATCCAGCTGGGCGGTGAACAGGTCAGTGTTGACGCCGTTCAGCGAGGCGTCCTCGGCCGGCGACGCGACCGGTGCGGCCGGCAGCAGCCGCGCCCCACTCGCCGGCTGCACGTAGGTGGGCACCTTGTCGGAGGCCTGGCCCTGGCCGTAGCGGCCCTGCTCGGGCGGCAGGTACGAGACCGGCGGCGGGGCGCTGCTGGCGACGATGGCCGGCCGCAGCACGGACGTGGGCACCGGCCGGCGCGGCCCCGGCGCCAGGCTGCTGACCAAGGTCCGCGTGTACGACGGCAGCGGCGCGCCGCCGGTCAGCGTCGCCGGGAACACGCCCGAGGTGAAGGAGGCCTGGACCGGCCCGGCCGTCAGCGTCGCCGCCGGTCCCACGCCCACGCCCACCGTTGTCGAGTGATAGTGCGAGTGGAAATGGGTGTGGTGGTTGAGGCTTCCTTGGCGCCGAGGACCGATCTGCCCTCCGCCTCCCCCGGGATACACACCGGTACCAGCGCCCCGCGCCTCCTCCAGTGCTTCCCGTTCCACCGGGATATCCTCCTCCTCCTCCTCCACTGCCGAGACCTCCGGTTCCTGTTCCTCCACCGCCCTGTCCTCCAGCGCCACCAGGATATCCTCCTCCTCCCCCTCCTTGACCTCCAGGCCCCTTTCCTCCGCCACCATGTCCTCCGGTGCCACCAGGATACCCTCCTCCTCCTCCTCCGCTGCTGCCGCCGCCGCCGTGCCCTCCAGTACCCCCTGGGTAGCCGCCCCCCTCCACCGCCGTGACCTCCAGTACCGCCGGGATATCCTCCTCCTCCGCTGCCGCCGTGTCCTCCTCCACCGCCACCGGGATATCCTCCTCCTCCGCTGCCGCCGTGTCCTCCTCCACCGCCTACCGGGATATCCTCCTCCACCGCCGCCGCCGTGTCCTCCTCCTCCGCCGCCGTGTCCCTCCTCCGCTGCCGCCGGGATATCCTCCTCCTCCGCCGCCGCCGTGTCCTCCACCACCGCCACCGGGATATCCTCCACCTCCGCCGCCACCGTGTCCTCCTCCGCCGCCGCCGGGATATCCTCCACCTCCGCCACCGCCGTGTCCTCCTCCGCCGCCGCCGTGTCCTCCTCCGCCGCCGCCGGGATATCCTCCGCCTCCTCCTCCCCGCCGCCGGTAGGGTGGGCCGTAGGAGCCGGACGGAGGCCGGATGTTGGGCGGTCCGTAGGTGGTCAGCGGCCGCGTCACCGGTCCGTACGTCCCCGACGGCCGCACTGGTGGGCCGTAGCTGCCGGACGGACGGCCCTTGCCGCCGCCGTGGCCGCCCTTGCCGCCGCCGTGGCCGCCCTTGCCACCGCCGTGGCCGCCCTTCCCCTTCCCCGAGCCACCATAGTGCGTCGGGACTTTACTAGCCCCTGGGTAGCCGTGCTTGTGGGACTGTCCTCCTCCTTTGCCCTTGTTGAAGAACGGAAAGAAGAAGGCGTCTGCCAGCGAGGCCAGCCCGAGGGCCAGCAGCACGACCGACCACTTCATACCGGCACCACAGCGGACACACCGAGCGGCCGTCGTCACACGGGCCGCGCTGGTCCCCTCCGAGCGACGACCGGGGCGCGAGTGTGGCACCGAGCCGGCGCCGGCCGCTGGTCGACTTTCCTCTCGACGAGACGCGGGCGGACGACACTTTTTCTTTCAATGCGAACAGGGACCATTACAAAACCGCCTCGTCCCGAATGCCGAAACCCCGGGTGTCGCAGCGGCCGCAGAACAATGTGGCGCGGGTGGCGCAAAGTGCGGCCTCGCTCCACCCCTCCGATGCAGCTCAAGCCGTGCGAAACGGAAAAGGAAAGTGAGACCTTAGCCACTATACACGCCAGCTCCTCTGAATGGGACAACCATGCATATTCCGCCGACAACACGGCTTGGTAATGACTGCGGCGGCACGCACCCCGTCTCGGGCTTTGCACAACTGAGCGCGGCACGGCGAGTCGTCCTGGCCGAGGCCGGACGAGACGCCATTGTGGCGACAGCGCCGTCTCACAATGCCCGGCGCGACTCTGCAGGGGACGGCGGTGGTCGGGCGGCAGGATCAATCATCCTGCGCGCCGCCGCCGCCTGGCCGCCGCGAATGACGGCGGCGTTCCTCGTTGACCTGAGGGAATGATGCTTATCGCGGCATTGACCTTGCCTTGATCGGCCGACGGCACTGAACTAGCTGCTGCAACACTCCAGTTACATGCACTCGGTATGTGTCCAAGGCAAGGACGTGTTCAGATCAGACATCTACGATAACGGGAGACGTGCCAACAGCAGATCACCCTCAGTCCGCAACCAATTTGCATAATTTGACGGCGTCACGTCATCATTTTCATTTTGCAGCAGCTGTTATTGCCACGTTATAGGCGTGAAACGGCCCGTAAAATATTTATTACAAGTTAGCGCTGTGATGAGGCTCATAATCCGCTCCGCGCCTGGCGCACCACCACCATGTGCTACAAATGTTTTAAAACACCTATGAAAAAGTCAGATTTTTTCTCAAATCACGTAAGTTGTTCAGTGCATTAGCGAGAACATTATTCACACAGATAAGACAGAAGCCTTATTCTTATATCTCTATTCTCCAAGGAATAGGGCTAACACTTTTGTCTTATCCACGATTTCTTAATTAAAAGAGTTGACAGAGAATACGTGGTCACGAGCCCTTTCCTGGACATTACCTACCATGGCAGTCGCAGTGACGGCACGGGCCGTGGCACGTCCGGGATCCGACTCCAGGACACACTGTACGAAACTGCGCTGGAGTCCATGATGCTACCCCTAGCCATGAGGAGTCCAGGGACCCGATTCCAGGACACACCGTGCGAGTCCAAGCGCGAGTCCATGATTCTACCCCTAGCCATGAGGGGTGGAACTCCTACCACCACATCGTGATTGAAGTCAAAAGGGTAAGTCGTGCATGCCTGCAAATTATTCTTCGATAAGAAATAACACAGGTACCTTGCGTTTTGTGTGCGAAGATGCGTTAAGTTAAGCCCTAAGTCTTCCATGTATGATATCTGGATGGTGAACGACCACAGATCGAGTACAAGCACGTATTGGGCCAGGGTTTTGTGGCGTACTTCCTACCACCAAAACTTTATTTCTTCATAGAGGCTGACAGAAGATTGAGCGTGTATTCATACATGAGCTATTTAGGATTTGGTGTAAGATAAGTTAGATAACGGTGGTGTTTGCCAGGGGTGCTGGTGGCATACCTACAGGTCGATAGAACTACACCCTGGCGCGTTCACTCACGAATGCACTTGTACGGCTGGCACGACAATGGGAGTGTTCAAACCGGCTCATGACCGATTTGTCGAACCCACACTGCAGACAAACCAGGGCCCGAGAGCATTCTCGCATCACTTAGGTTTTGGACAGACCGACATTCATTCTATTTCGGAGCACGTGCGTTGCACGTAGCGTCCTCCGAGTAAGCGTCTGTCCTGAGAGCCTGCGGGCTTGTATATTCAATTTTGTGAAAGCAACTACCAACTTCAGCACGCGTTTACGTGGAGATACGTATATTGTACAAAGTTATTACAGGCACAGTTATTATTACACAGTTATTATGGCACTCAAGAGGAAGGCTGTCGTGCTGAGTCTTCAATCGCTCCAGTTTGCTATGGGATGAGTCATGAGTTTTCTATGGCGCTATTTTTGGGATGGGTTTTGATGATGTGGTACCGCCATGGCGTTCTTGGCGTGGAGCTCATTTTATCCTGTCTCCGGGCGGCCGGTTGAATGCGACGCGCTCCGATGCAGGGGCGCAGTAAGTCTTGGCAAAGGGGAAGGGGACAGAGTTGACAGGGAGTGTCCCCTGCTGGGGAGCCCACCTTCCTGCCCCTTCCCCAAAAATACTGGAATCGGCTCTCTTGATTTCAAAGAAACATGATTTTCTTGATTTCTTTTTGTGTTACCTTCTTAGCTGAAGCACAAATCAGACGTCACCGGAAGATTTACCACTGCTTGCTTTTGTCAATATACTGGAGAAGCCAGACGTCAAATAACCGCATCGAATAAAGCAACGGTGCTTTTCATCTTGCAATTGTTCAGTGAACTCTTCTCAACAGAGAGCACCAAAAGGTTTCGGAGGAAGTTTCGGAGTCATACAGTGATGTTGAGGACACACTGAATGGACGTATATTGCAGATAAAATTATGTCAAATACTTGTATTGTCATAGGCAATCATGTTCCGCTTGAGACGCTCATTCTCCATTCAGAACAGAGTAGCGAAAAATTACGTAACAGTTCTGAACAAACGCGCTCGTAAACTATTGACACAAAAGCCATGGAACGGGTCGTTGCAGTCTCCACGGACCGTGCAGCGTACGCCTCACGGCTTACACTAACCAACAGCCAACGGGTGGGTGAAAATGATCAGGTACCTGGAAGAAGCACAAATGAACGCGCTATGCATCATTTTGTACGTTTTAAACTAGTCCGGGACGTACGCATCACCTGCGCGATTTTGGGATTGGTAATTGACCGGATCAGCATTTACAGTAAGTACCGCGAAATCTGAAGATAATGATGGATCTCTATTGTTTTGGCATTGTTGTAACCGTTAAACTGTTCAGAAGACACCCCCAAAATTTCAGAGGCGAAGTTTAGCCAAACACTTAGTCTCAAAAGTTACAAATTCATTGTGAAGGGCTTCCGAAAACATTATTTTCCGACGCATGGCCGCTCTTGCGCACCCGGCGCCCGCCGTCTGGTGTTGGCTACTGCAGCCAACGTCAACGAAGACTGCGAAGGTCAACGAAGGTCAACGAAGGTCAACGAAGGACAACGAAGGTCAACGAAGACTGCAACCCCGGGCATCGATCATCTTGCTCCAATCGATGGCTCAACGCAGATGACCCCGTCACGGAAGCCCTCTGACCCGGCCAGTTGGCAGCGGATTGACACAGCGGCCCCAATGGCCGAGCAAAGATTCCTTATTGCCGTAGGGGGTCAATGATTGGCAGCGACTCCAGTTCGGCTTACTTGGCCCCTGGCTGAAACGGTATAGCGGGCCCGCGTTCGGTGCTGGGCCCCTGACTAACACAGGACCCTTTCATTGTCTCATCGTGGACCCCCATCATGAAGTCTAATTTCTCTTTATTGACGGAGGGCCCTGACCAACGCGAGGCCCTCTGGCATTTTGGTCCCTCGTTCCTCTCCTTGTTCAATAAATGTTCCCCTGGCTGACTCGAGGCCCCTTACCGACACGGGACAAACTCATGAGGCACTGAAGGCCCTTGACCGACACGGGGCCACCTAATTGCTTCAGGGGTTCCGACCAATGCAAATCACGGGCTCCAGTTTTGTCCCTGCTAGGGCAATGGGTCCCCAGGGCTCAGACCGGCACGGAGCCGACTGTTCGGTGTTGGTCCCTGCCCGAAATAAGGCCAGCACTACTCCAGGTAGCCCGCAATCGGTACAACAGGCCTTATAACTGACATCTGAGGGCTCAGTCCTACGGGCCAGGGTCCTTGATGTGATACACGACCAGACCCTCGCACCCTCCCAACGGGCCCCCGATCGTCGGTCCCGAGGGGCCCTTTGGGTCCCTCGGAACCTAAGGGGCGCGGGCGTACCCCTGTGTCCCCTGCCCACGCCCTTGCACAATGGGCAAAGAAAGGACTCCGCTTATCGGTACTCAGCTTCTCAGCCTCTCAGCTTCAGTTTAACGGGCCTCTGACCGAAATGGGGTCGAGGGGCCCCCGTTCCGGACTGGGGCCTCATGGAGCCGACTGTTCGATAGTGCTGGTGCCTGACTGGTATGGAGGTCCTCATCGACTCAGGGGACTCCCGATCGGCACAAAATACCCTTTGACTGGTAAACGAGTGTCGTGCCTTGCTGGCCGGGCCCCTTAAAACGATTTCCGTGAAGGGTCCCGTGGGTCCCGACAGGAAATCACGGGACCCTCTCCTTGTGCCCCCCCCCCCCCCCGCCTTCCCTACCTGCGCCCCTGCCCTAGCGATGCGCGGTATTGGAAATCGTCACGCCCGGTGATGAGTGTTTAAGGGGCGTTCCAGAATTTCCATGACCATCTTGAAGATCATTTGGTGCAGTTCACGGACCCGTCCCTATTAAGACATAAGCCCCCCTAGTTTCTGAGCTACACGCCCGCGAAGACGTGGACTTTTTAGGAAGCTATTCCGAGGTCACCTAGGCATCCATGACGTCATAATACGTCACTCAAGTCTTGCCATTCAATTATCCACACGGCAGTCAATGCCGAGAAAAACATAATTGTCGAGACGTTCATATGTAGCGTTCCTGAGCACAATTTCCAGATATCGCGGCCGTCCATTGACCCTCACTCAATGTTGTGCAAGGTACGTTCGCGTAATCTAACGACATGTTGAGCAGCAAACTTACTACGCAGTGCAATTGTGCTATCTACAACAGTCTTCTTGCATACAAGTGTGCCAACAGTTAACGGTGAGCTTATTTTATCACGCTCACGTCAATACATTACTTCAATATCTTCGATATCTGCAATGC